CATCACCAAATTCCCTCAATAGGTGAATGGACAGACAAACTGATACATCTGTTCAATGAAATATTATTCAAGGATAAAAAATAACTTATCAAGCCACAAAAAGACATGGAAGAACCTTAAATGCATACTGCTAAGTGCAAGAACCCAGTCTGAAGAGACTCATACTGTATGATCCTAATTATATGACATTCTGGAAAAGGCAAAACTATAAAGACATTAATAAAAATCATTGATTGTGGGGTTCAGAGGAAGGTGGAGGAATGAATAAGTGAAGCACAAGGGATTTTAGGGGTGAACTATTCTGTAAAGTGGATTCATAACAGTAGGTATTTGCTGAAACACACAGCTATTTAATGGAGTAAAACTTAATGTATGCAAACTTAAAAATCACTTAAGAAGCCAAGCAATCCCAGGAAGGAATACAGACTATGGCAAAAAGGTCAAACTGTATTACAAATGTATAAAACCACCTCACTGAAGGTGGGGTGGGGAGCATTTGGTAGTGATAATGTTGTTTCCCATAGATTAACAATTATACACACACACACACACACACACACACACACACACACACACACACTAGAATTGAATAATTAAGCAAATGGATAGTCAATGGCAGGAGTCAGCTTCCTTTTTCTTTAGTGTTTATTTATTGGTGGGGAGGGGGAGCATCGGGGGGGGCAGGGAGAGGAAGAGGGAGAGAATTCCTAGCATCAATGCAGGGGTCGAACTGACAAACTGTGAGATCATGACCTGAGCTGAAGTCAAGAGTCAGATGCTTAACCGACTGAGCTACCCAGGCACCTGGGACTCAGGTTTCTTACTGCCAGACTGTGAATTTACAGATAAGGAAATGTAGCAAGTGAGAATGTGATCCATGTGGTAATGAATTAGAGTTGAAGACATCAGGGTGAACTTGTAGCTAAATATAGACATAGTTGATTATATAATAAAGAAATATTTACAGATAGGTATATATACTTGGCTTAGTTTATATATATATATTTCTTCATTGTCAACTGAGGGGACTTAAGCAATACCCCAATAGCAATGAGCACATCTATCTTGATTTCTATTACCATTCCTCAATAAAATGAACCAGGGAGTCTTGCAGAAACAGTTGATTCTAGGACTGGGCAGGAAATAGGCAAAATGAGCCTGGAGTATCTTATTGCCAGAAAGTTAAGGACATAATATAAATGAGCCAACTGAAAGAGCTCCAAATGGCCAAACTATTCAAACAATTTGAATAGTGAATAGTATTGCATTATGACCAAAAGTATAAATATCCATGAGTCCACATTATATAAATAATTAGATAAATTAATAGGAGAGAAGAGACAAATCTGTGCAGATTTCTAAAAGGTTTATGTAGGTTTTCTGACCTCAATAAGGGGGAGCATAACTTCCTATCGTTCAAAGATGAGCCACACATAGTGACTTCCTTCCAGAGTACAATAAGGAAAAAAAAAAAAAAAGAAGTAAAGAATAATTTTACGGCGAAAAACCTAACAAACTACCTCAGCTAGCAAAGTCAATGTCAAGTCATAAATTCTGTTAATAATATGCACCCTCAATATGATGTATTGCAAATGGCACTTTACCTCTGTGATTTCCTCCCCCAAACCCATAACTCCCCCTTAAGCACGAGAAAAACATTAAATTCCAACAGAGGGCCATTCTACAAAGTACTTCACCCACACTTCTCAAAACTATAAAGGTCATCAAAAACAAAGAAAGGATGGGAAACTATCACAGCAAGAGAAGCTAAGGAGACATGACAACTAAATATGAAATCCTAGAACAGAAAAAGGACATCAGGTAAAAACTAAGGAAATCTGAATAAACTATGGAATTTAGTTAATAACAATGTATTGACATCAATTCATTAATTACAGCAAATGTACATACTGATATGTTAATAATAAGGGAAACTGGATGTGGGGTATATGGGATGTTTCTATCCAATTTTTATGTGAATCTAAAAGTAAAACTAAACTAAAAATAAAAAAGGGTCCATTTATAGAAGAAAAAAGAAAGTCACAGATTGGGAGAAAATACCTGCACATGTGTGATAAAGACTTGTATCCAGGCTACCAAGAACTCCCAAAACTCAACAGTAAGAAAACAACCCAATTTAGAAATGGGCAACAAAACTGCAGACACTTCACCAAAGAAGATATACAGCCCATGAGAAGACAATGAACATCATCGGTCATCAGGGAAATAAAAATTATTAAAACCACAATGAGATACCACTGCACACTTATTACAGTAGCTGAAATTAAGACTGACCAAAGCACGTGTTAGCAAACAAATGGAGGTGAATTCTCCCAGACTTTGGAAACACCTCACTTCTCTAAGTATTCACTCTAAAGGAAGCATATATCCATACAAAAGTATACACAAGAATGTTTACAGGATTCTGTGTTATGTAACAGACATAAAATTTTAAAAAACCAAAATATCCTTTAACAGGTGAATTAAAAATTATGGTAACTCTACAACTTAATACTTCTCAACAATACAAAGAAACAAACTATTGATATATGCAACAACATGGATGAACCCAATACTGAAGGAAGTCAGATCAAAAGAAAAGGTACATACTATATGATGCCATTAATATTAAACCCTTGAAAGTGTGAACTGCTCTACAAGTGGCGGGAAGAAGATCAGAGTTTGGGAGGGTGGGGGACACAGGAGCAGGGATTACAAAGGAATAGGAGGAAGCTCTCAGGATTGCCGTGTTCACAATCTTGATAGAGGTGATTCTTTCTTGGGTGTATATATGTCAAAATTTACCTGACACTTTATTGAAAAAAATTTTTTTCCTTTGTTTATTTTTGAGAGAGAGAGAGACAGAGTGCAAATGGGAGAGGGGCAGAGAGAGAGGGAGACACAGAATCCAGAGCAGGCTCCAGGCTCTGAGCTGTCGGCACACAGCCCGATGCGGAACTCGAACTCATGGACCAGGAGATCATGACCTGAGCCAAAGTCAGATGTTTAACTGACTGAGCCACCCAGGCGCCCCATACCTGACTGTCCACTTTAAATAACTGAATTTATAGAATATCAGTCAGACTTCAATAAGGTGATTAAACATACTAATGAAGTAATAAATAAGGTAGTGAGAAGAAGATAAGTAGAGCAAGATTTTCTGCTTCTCAATGGAAGTACTGCATGGAGGGCCGAAATTCAGGACCTTAGATCAGCACAGATCTTCCTCAACTTAGGATGGGGTTACATCCAAAAACCCACCATAAACTGAAGATATCATAGGTCAAAAATGCATTTAATACACCTCACCTACCGAACATAACTCAACCTAGGGCCTACCTTTAATGTGCTCAGAACACTTATGCTTGAATGCCGAGAACAAACTGAGGGTAGATGGAGTGGGGGGAGGGGGGCTGACAGGCATGGGGGAGGGCACTTGTGGGGATGAGCGCTGGGTGTTATATGGAAACCAACTTGACAATAAACTATTTAAAATTAAAAAAAGAAAGAACACTTTTGCTAGCCTACAGCTGGGCAAAATCATCTAACACAAAGCCTGTTTTTTAATAGTGTTGAACACCTCATGTAATATACTGAATACTGTACTCAAAGTGAAAAACAATGATTATATGGATACAGGATGGCTGTCGGTGTATCAGCTGTTTATTCTCACGGCTGCAGCGCAGCCACAGCCCACTGTCAGGAAAGAATGTTGTCCTACACATTACTAGGCCAGGAAAAAAATGAAAAAAAAAAAATCAAAGTGTGATTTCTACTGAATGCATATTGCTCTCGTACCATAGTCAAACCAAAAAATCTAAGTCAAACGATCATAAATCAGGGACCATCTGTATTATTTACAGGGCTAGCCTACAATCTGCCTCTGGTCCTTAATGACATAGGAACTTACACAGGAAGTAAGTCACCTACCTCCCAAGCACACTGTTTAGTTCCGTTGATATTTTTTTCCAAAATTAACATTTCTCAATGAAAAAAAGCAATGTGCTGATGAGCACTCTGGCACAAGCTCCTCATGTAATCACTGACCTGTAACAAACAGTCCCCAGACCAGCATTTATTTAGACACATTTTGAGTAGCGCTGTTTAGATTACACACAGATGTTCTTTTAACCTCTCGAAGCCTATCCTCATCTGTATGATGAGATAAGTGCTCTGAACACCTCAAACAATAGTCTGATGCTCTAATGAGCTATAAAGCTTGCAGATAGCATGCACTGATTAATGTGCCACTGCATTATGTAGATAGTGTTTTGAAATAAAGCCATATGTAAAAATAAAATGTCATTTTTTATTTGTTCAGAATGATTGGTTTTTTAAAATATTTATTTTGAGAGAGAGCGCGCGCACATGCGCATGGGAGTAAGGTAGGGGCAGAGAGAAAAGAGAGAATCTCAAGCAGGCTCCACACTGTCAGCATGGAGTGTGACACGGGGGCTCCATCCCACAAACCATGAGATCATGACCTGAACCAAAATCAATAACTGGATGCTTAACCGACTGAGCCACCCAGGCGCCCCAGAATGCTTGGTTTTAAAGTTAACTGAAACTAAAAATGGTTTGTTTACCAGTGAAGTTCTTAATACCCAAAACGATTAACTTCAATATTAAGGGTTTATAGCAAAAATGGACCTATATTTAATATTAGCTGATACTTGAGGAGTTATATATACACTATACAATGACATCTATTCTTTTTATCAGAGCACACCCTCCCAGATACAGAAATGAAGAAGTAACAGTGTTATTTTCATCTTTTCCTATTCTAGTAATAGTTTAATAATTCATAAACTCAAAACTGTTCACACATATTTAATTATTTTTTCTTGTTCACGTCTGAAGAAGAGCTTCTTTCTCTAAGAAATTTACATTTTATAATCTTTCCTTTGAAATATAAGAAAGATATGGAATCTCCTGAGTTATATATGCAGCTTATACATTCTTTAAGTTATTTTTAAAATATTACAAATTAACCATATATATTCATAATACACATCCTTGTTATTCATATATTCCTTTAAGCAACATTCAAGTATATTTGTGCTTTGTATGTTTACATTACTTTAGGATCTATTTTCAGCTTTCAATAAAACTGTATATCAATAAAGATTTCTCAAATATTTAATAAATGAGGCAAAACAGCCATTATGAAAATATAAACTGCTATTATAGCTTTTTCATCTAGCATTTTTTACGCATTTCCAGTCAACCATTTCATTTCCTGTTCTTTAGGGAAGCTGATAAATTTTTATCTTTGCAATCTCAACACTGCTGCTTTCTCAGCACAGCAGGAGTCTGTATATTGCAGGTTTTCTGAATGCACAGTATTCACTCGGCCAGATCAGGTGTAGCAGTGAACTCTGATAGTGTTGGTATTCATCACTTCCAGTTATTTCAACTGCAGGACCACCTTCAAACACAAAGTCAGGGGAGGAGGGAAATCAGGTTATTCCAGAATGATGCCAATATCTGCCTAATGAAATGCTTTGAAATCTCTGAAGGAGGGCCTGGAGAACTGATAACGAACAAGCACAATGCACAGTAACAGACGGAGCGTGCCTGCCAGGATCCATGGCTCAGAATCAATTAACATTTATATCGGGTTCTACCACACACCCTTGCAGACATTCAGCCCCATCCAAAAGCAAGCCAGGCTACCAGTGCGTTTACTGGGCATGTGGACCAGCCATCATGGCACTAAAATAAACATCTGCAGAGTACAGAGGAAAACTGAGTATAGCAGGGCTTAAAAGAAGTAAGGCTAAGAAAGTTGGCTGGTGCAAGAGAATGTGGTTAGGATATCTGACATTAATCATGGATTTCAGATCACTACGGAAAAAGCTGAGCAATAATGAAAGGAATATACATATACCAAGATAGTTATTTTTCTTACTGACAGCAGCAGTTTTCACTGTTTAAGTATTTTTCTCATTAAATACACACTGGGAATTGTTCCTGTTATTTAGCTAACGCTTTGTAAATGTAAAATTTTTAGTCATTCATTAACATGTCTTATCTCAACCTCATTTTGTTATAACTGTAAGCCATATTTTGTCTCCCATAGTTAGAGGATTATAAAAGCAATTTGATTTGTCCAGTTAAGTAAGACCCTCTTTCCTTTAGGATCACAAGTATTTACAATCATAAAAACTCTTCAGAATCACAGCCCCAAGGTAAAAATTTATTTTTATCATTACTGAGCACTGGGGCAAAAAAAAAAAAAAAAAAAAAAAATCTACTATTCTATCAAAAATAACTATTTGATAAATTAGGCTCAAAACTAAGCAGTTAAAATTACAAGTTATAATGAATTTAATATCTAAAACTGGGGTTGCAGAACAGATCAACAAGGTATTTTCTGTGCTTGACAGAAAAGATCAGAAAGAAAAGAAACATTAAAAGTCAATTATGAGTTTTTCTTCTTCTTATGAGTTCTTCTCAAACATTTTAAACCACACAACAAAATTAAAACAAGTACCTTATTAGCTGCTTCCAAGGAATGTATTAGATTCTGCAGCTCTTCTTTACTCATTTCAACAGAATACGGTTTGACTTCACCATTTTCTTTTACGTCTAGATTAAGGTTTAAAAGTGGCATTTGTAATGTAGCAATCTTGTCACTAGACAGTGCAAGCTGTTTAAAATGAGGAAAACAGTAATTAATAAGTAGTAACAAAGAATATATTAAATATACATCAGAGCTTATTAACAATACAAGATTACTCTTGCTTGCTATCAAGTACAGCAAAAGGGGGAAGAAATACAGAAACCCATGTCAAACCAACACATAAAAGAAGAACAGAAAGAGAAAGGAGGATGAATGGAGAGGACGTAGACTGGGAAAAAAGGACAACCAGTACAAATTTCGCGGCATAAGCAGAAATTCAGAGCAGAATTACAGCTGGGAAGTACTGAGTAAGTCCAATGCATCAAGAAACGGAGAATTCTTAAAGTGTAAAGAATCCAAGAGGGGGAAAGTCCGCATACAAAGACACAACCAAAAACACCGGTAAACCCTGTGAAATTAAGATGCTTATTCACGATTCTCTACTCAATTATTGATACACATGTTATCAAGATACCACGTTCAATTAGAGCCACTCAGCAAAAACACTCAATACATGTACCCTACTTCCTATTTTCTGTCTACAGAGAATCCTAGAAGAAATAGAAGAACCAAATATTTATGATACTAATAATTTTTGAAACAAGTACCATGGTTTCATTGGCAGATGGCAAAGGAAAAATCAAATTTTCCTGGAATCTGAGCTAGAAAACTCCACAATAAGTGAATCTTCCAAGTGCTACTACTTGCAAAAATTTACTTATGCAATGAATGGTAAGGAACTACCTCCCTAACAAACATCCTCAAAGATCACCCTCGGCGTGCACACACTACAGAATTGAATCCTCAAATAACTCCTCCATTCTCTCTTCAAAATCCAAGACTCACCATATCTGAGATTTAGAAGTATCAAAGATCATCTATGTGATGGATAATTCTCTTCTTCAGTGTGTCCAATAAGTGGTTTCTTAGTCTATGCTTGAATACCATCAAGATGAATGTGCTACCTCAAGAAGAGGTGAAAATAATCTTCAGATACTAATAGGTGTTCAAACACTTCCCTTAGGTTGATGTGATTGATGTGAACTCACCTTATCGCAAACTATGCACCTTAAACCTATACCTCTGTCCTAGCCTCTGAAGCCAAGAGCATATAAAAATTCCCTCATCCCTCGTCCATAGAGACGATTTTTAGTCCTTTAAAGACAACGGTCATTTTTCTACTAAGTTTTTTCCTTTCCAGATACATTGTTCCCAAGTGTTTAAAAAAAACCTTCATGATTTTAAGTTCCTGTTCATTCTTTTCTGGTTTGGCTCTAATTTGTTTAACTATCTCTTAAATTTGGCAGTCAGAACTGAAAGTATTAATAACTAAATTAACTAAACAGTGAAATGAATAAAAACAGAATTAGAACTACCCATTGCTTGAAACACTGCATTTCTAGCAACAAAACATAAGACTGAATCACCATATTGCTGACTCAAGCCACATCTGGTAAATCAAAACAACTAAATATTCTCATACATATTACTTTTGGCACATCTCTCATATCTTTTATATTAAATTGGTTTTATGTATATAAAAATCCTCTATCTAGGTTATCTCTGCTTAACTTATTTACTTCATTTGGTCCATCGTAATCTGCTATAAAACAATTTTCAGCTTTGATTGTATTATATTAATATTTAATGTGTCTCAGTTTTGATAAGCATAATACTCATAAAAATGTTGAAGACTGAGCCAAAACCAGAATCACAGAGACCTCCTCCCTGGATAACGCAAATACATCTGGTTTCGGTTATTTATCCAGCTATGACCCAAGTAACTGTGTTATTTTTCCACATTTTTCTCCACTTTATCCACAAAGACTGTATGAGACACTTCATCCAGGTTCATGCTGAAATGAGAAACACAATGTGTTTCAACACAACCTCCTCATTTAGGCTGATGTATCCTATACAGCATGGAAAGTTGGTCTGAAATTGTTCTTTATTAATCCCATTGATCATAAGTCTCTTTTCCAAAATGTTTTTTAAAGTTAACTTTTAATAACACATAGATTTTCCCCTGGAGGTAGAATCACATTTACCAATCTTAAGAAGACTGTAATAAAGTCTAGAAAGTTCTAGCCAAAAATAGACGTTGAATACATACTACTCCACTACTTAAGATAGTTAATGATTTATAGCTCTAGTTAATTAAATTTATTATCAATGTAATGTTATTACATATTTTTGGATGTCTGTACCATACTTATGGCTAAATAATGTAAAAAATATGATTTTTGACACTGTATTCTTAAAACAACAGAAATTTTAGATGTATATTATAAAAAAAGAATAAATATTTCTTTCTATTAAAAAAAAATGAGTACAAAATTTACATGCCCGTAAACAGATTCTCACCTTTAACTGCCAATCAAAATCCTGTAGCTGTGCAGAAGAAATATCAACTATTTCCTCTAACAGAACCTTCTTGATTTCATCTTTCCTACTTTTCAAGCATTTCATGATAGCTTCTTGATGAAATGAATTCAACTGATTCAACTGCTGAAATATCTATGAAAATAAAAATAAACAGAAAGTGAAAGGGAATTTCTGTTAAAAATGTAAACATATAGCTCCACTCCTCTTTTTCAAACCCTTTAAAATGATAGTAAAAGAAAAAAAAAAAGGAATACCTCTGCCTAGAATAAAATGATAATGTATAACTGACAAACAAGAGATTTACACAGATTTTTGCAAACCAAAAAGGTAAAGAGCTGACTGATGAAGCAGCATGAGAGCAAAGACCACTCACACTGGTACAGCGCTCTTAATATCAGACAAGGTAGCCTTTAAGAAGTATTACAAGAAATAAAGAATGGCAAAAGGACCATTCAACAGAAAGAATAATCATAAATTTGTGTGCACCCAATAAAACAGCTTCAAAATATACAGAGTAGCAAAACTTGGCAGAACTAAAATGAGAAATGGATAAGTCTAATTAGATTTGTTAGATTTATAACCAAAATGTTAACACATTTCCAATAACTGACGGAAAAACACACAAAACAATCGTAAAGATATAGAATCAAAAAATACTATCTTTCTTTAACCTAACTGATACACAGAACATTATACTCAACAACTACAATACACACTATTTTCAAATATATGTTCAAATGGAACATTCACCAGAATGAATCACAAGACAAGCCAGGCAGCAAATCACAACAGATTTCAAAGGACTGCAATCAAATTATTTATTTTTTACCATAGCATGATCATAAAATAAAAGATTTCCAAATATTGAAGATTATACCACATAGTAACACAGTACCAAAGAAGATATAAAATCAATCTTGCACAAACTCTTCCAGAGAATAAGAAAAAAGAAAAAATACTTCCTAATTCATTTTATTAGACTAGAATAAAACCTGACACCCTGACCAGGACATTACAAAGAAAAGAACTATGGGCCAATATTACTCAAAAACAGATGCAAAAGTCCTAAATAAAATAATGGCAAATCAAATCAAGAGATACATAAAAACATAACACATCATGACCAAGTGGCATTTATTTTGGCAATGCAAGGTTTAGCATTTAAATTTAAATATCCAATTTAGCATTTAAATATCCAATGAAAGACACGACATCAACAAAATAAAGAAGAAAAAATAACAAATTTAGGAAAACAATGTTTAAATAAAATTCAATACCCATTAATGATAACAATTTTCAGCAAAGCAGGAACTGTAGGAAACTTCTTTAATCTTACAGTATATACCTATAAAAACACACAGCTAACACAATAAATGATAAAATAGTGAATGCATTCTTCCTAAGGTCAGGAATAAGACACTGCTTTTTTGTTTCTACACTGTCTTAAAGGTGTTAGGCATTGCAATAAGGTAAGAAAAAAGTGGGTATTAAAATTTAAAAAGAAAATGGGGCGCCTGGGTGGCTTAGTCGGTTAAGCGTCCGACTTTCGCTTGGGTCATGATCTCGTGGTTCGTGGGTTCGAGCCCTGCGTCAGGCTCTGTGCTGACTGCCAGCTCAGAGCCTGGAGCCTGTTTCAGTCTGTGACTCCCTCTCTCTCTGACCCTCCCCTGCTCATGCGGTCTCTCTCTCTCCTAGAAATAAAATTAAAAAAAAAAAAAAAAAAAAGATTCTCTCTCTCCCTCCCCTCTCTGTTTTCGCATGCTCTCTCTCTCCCTCTCAAATAAAAAAATTTTTTTTAAAAATTTAAAAAGAAAATGACTGTACACAAAAAAGAAATCCAGAAAAATGTTTTATAAGCCATTAAATAATTTTTTTAAAATTGCTGGATATGGGGTAAAGATATAAAAAATATTTCTATGTACCAGCAATAAATAAGTGGAGAACAAAATTAAAGAACATCAAAAAAAAAATCAATTACTTAAAAATAAATGTAAGAAAATCTTTGCAAGACCTCCACACTGAAAACTACAAAATATTAGAGAAATTGAAGTAATCCAAATAAATGGAATGTTATTCTATGTTCATAGATTGGGAAGATTAATATTAAGACAGAAATTCTTTCCCAAATGATCATACAGATTCAGTGCAATCCCCATGCTGTGAACTTAATGGTGTGACCTCAAAATTCGTATGTTGAAATTCTAATTCTCATTGCGATGATATTTAAAGATGGGGCCTTCTGAGAAGTAATTAGGTTTAACAGGTCATAAGGGTAGGGCCCTCATGATGGGATTAGTGCTCTTATAAAAAGAAACACAAGAAAGACTGTGTCCCTCTCCAGTTGCCATGTGAGAACCACAGCAAGAAGGTAGTCTGCAGCCACGAAAAGGGTTCCTGACAGGGGATCAAATCAGCTAGCACCCTTATCTTGGACTTACCAGCATGGAGAATCGTGAGAAATAAATTCTTATTGTTTAAGCTACCCAGTCTATGGTATTTTGTTATGGCAGCCCAAGTGGACTAATACTCATCAAAATCCCAGCAGGGTTTTTTTTTGTTGTTGTTGTTGTTGCTGAAACTGACAAGCTGATTATAAATGTACATGAAAATACAGAGAACCTAGATTGCCAAAGCAATCTTGAAGAAGCATGAAATTGGAAGTCTTCTATTACCAGATATCAAGACTTTACGTAACATAGCTTTAATTCTACAGTAATTAAGACAGTGTAGTATTGGGAAATATAGACAAGACTAATGGAGTAGAATAAAGAGTCCAGATATAGACCCATACATACATGCAGCTTCCTGATTTACAACAAAGGCTGCACAGAAATTCTATGGGGCAAGGATGGTCACTTCAATAAAAGGTACTGGGTCAACTGTCTATTGATGTGAAAAAATGTGAACTTGACCCTTACTCCACACACAAATATGAATCCAAAACACACCAGGAACATAAATATGAGAGCTTTACAAATGTGAGAGCTTCTACAAGAAAACTAACAAAAACATCTTTCATGACTTTGGCACAAGTATTTGTTAAACACCATCAAAAGAAATGTTGACAAAACTGGACTGGATTAAAATTCAGAACTTCTGTTCACAAAAAGATACCATTAAGAGCGAAAAGGCAAGCCACATAATGGAAGAAGATATTTAAAATACCTATATCTAACAAAGAACTCCCACCCAGAATATCATCCAAATCAAAATGATGAGTATACATAAACTACATTTTTTTAAAGTGAGCAACCTACACAAACATGCCCAAATAACTTTTGACCAAGGTACAAAAGCAATTCAATGGAAGGACACCCCATGACCCTGTAATTTCACTTCAAGATGTCTATCCTACAAAACTTGGCCAATATGTGTACAAGGAGACACACACAAAATGTCAGTAAAAGTACTGTACATAATAATGAAAGCAGCAAAGATCAATGGTTCATCAGGAGGAGGCTAGAAAAATAAGTCCTGCTAATCCCTATCATCAAATACTACAGGAGGTTAAAATACAAGAACCAGATCTACATTTAGCAAGATTGGTAAGTCCAAAACACATTATCCCACAAAAAATTACAAATCACAATGTATGGATAGATACATTATCAAGTTACGCATTCAAACAGCTCAAATACCTATATTACTTGAAGAGGTAAACATTCCTACAATATGGAATACAAAATATGTACACCAACAAGCTGTGATCTGTTCGGGAAGGGAGGCATGCGAGGTGGTATTTAAGTATATTTCTAATGCCTTGTTTCTAAAACAAACACACAAACCTGTAATACATAAAGTAAAATGTTACTAAATGTTTAATCGTGATAATGAGTATGTAGGTGTCAGTTATCTAACTTTTGGTTTCCTTCTACATGATTTAAATGTATCACAATTTTACAAACACAAACAACCAAAACAAAACTAAAAAACCAGAACTTCCACAATCAGATTTGCCTACTCAAAATTATGATGTTTTTGTTGCAAAAGAACATATACTTACTGATGATGGCTCTTGTATGATATAGTGCCCTAAAGACCAACTCGAGAAAAACCTGAACACTAATTATTATTTATTATAAGATATAGAAATTTGGAGTGAAGTTACCTCTTCATCAGGTAAATTTTTACCAACTACAGCTTTGAAAAATTTGGTAATATCTTCTAGAACACTCTTCCATTCTGTCGAATCCCAAACATTGTGATAATCTTGGTACAGAGGATAAGCTCGGCCACAAATGCCATCAATTATTTTATGAAGAAGCTAGAGAGAAAAGAAAATAAGTGAATTATACGTAAACTTATGAAACAGACTAATCTTCCTTGTAGGAAACAAGTGTTGTTGGGAGAAGCTCCTGTGACCTGCAAGAGCAGCTGACATTGCAATGTAACTATTTTAACATTATTCTCATTAACTGAAAATTAAAGCTCCAATAAAAATCCCAGACTTTCTATAATTTTGTCCACCTTCAGAAGCTAAAATAATTTCACAGACACACTGTTGTTTCTCCTATAATCCTGAAAGGAAGACAGTGAATATAAAAGTTTCACCTTGAGATTCCTTAGACATTGTATTTATACCAATAATAAAAAAAGGTATGACTTTTAGATCAAAGTTTTTTATGGTAGATCTATAAATTTCATTTCCGCTTGCCTCCATTTTCACAGCATTCACACTCACTTCTTTTGGTCCACTCCAAGAGAGTTGTCAGAACCTTTTTTTTCTTTTTTTACATTCCTTTACCTCTACCCTACCTTAGTATCAGCAATGGAAATCCTAACACATATATAACTGAACATCGTGACTAAGACTGAATTTTGGAATAAAACTGTCTAGTTTGAATCCTAGTTCCACTACTTAACTAGTTTTATCAAGTTATTTAAATGTTCTGTGCCTGCTCCCTCCTGTGTAAAATGAGGATATCATTTACCTACATTATGCTGTTGTAAAGATTAAACAAGTACATGCAAATTACTTGGCACATTCCTAGCATGTATAACACACTTCCACAGTGCCAGCCATTGTTATCATTCTTCTCATTATTGTTATTATCACCATTACTGCCGCCACCACATTACGGTATTATGTTCCATGTCTTTAACATACATTAACTGATTGCCTACTATGTATGTCAGCACTATTCTAGATAATTGACTAATATGGTTTTCTTTCCCAGGAGATATCTGTGTCTTGTTAAAAGAGTATTTGAACCCAAATAATCTGGAAATGCATTTTAAGTAACAAGACTTCCAAATCTTTTCCCCTGGACCATATTCCACTCCACTTTAAGCAATAACTCTTTCCCTATAACACCACACATATCAGAACAGAAATGAGCAACTGGTAACTCCACTTCCAAATGATGGCTAATGCACTCTATGAACAGATCTTTTATCTACCATAAATCAACCAACATTCTCAATCTGAAATTCATTCAAAATTCTCTACACACATCCCATGTTATCCCAAACTGCCCCTGTGGTAAAGCAAAACACAGAACTCAAACTAATAAAGTACTATCTTTTGGAATATAAATGTCTGTATTCATTCATTCAATCATTCATTCATTCATTAATGTTTTCTAGTCATACATATGAAATATGTAATGAGTACTTCCTTACAATTGTTAAACAAGTTAGTGAAAATACAAAGCAAATATAATCATAATGGCTACCATATAGGGAGCCCTGACTGAGTACCAAGTACTGTGTTCATCCTCACTACAACCCTATGGGTAAGTCTCATTATTATACCCATTTTACAAATGAGAAAACTGAAGACAAACAAGAATACGTTGCTACCATATCAGACCTTTAGTCCATTAGAGAAAGACGAACGTAAATATATAAATGCAATTTAGAATGAGAGGAGCTGTATTATAAATTTATAGAAAGTACAAAGAAGTACAGAGAAGGGAAAGGCCTGCTTTTAGAAGGATGAAATGAGGATATCATCTACCACATTATGTTGTCATAGTACCTGGCCACTGAAATAGAAGAGAAGGGCATTTCTAGTCACAAGCAACTGCGTATGAATAGAATGAAAGTGTACAATCACATGTTCAATTTGAAAAAAGACAGGATGCAGGCTGAAGAAGTGAGTGGAGGCCAAATCATAAGGGCCTTGTGTACAGTGTCCAGGCTTTAATTGTTTCGATGGGGAAGCAACCTATTCACATATTTGCATTATGTTTCCATAAATTTTCCAACAAGTTTGGGAAATATAAGGAGAGAAAAGGAAAAGAGAGATGGTGAGACCAAAGGCCCCGTGCCTTCTCTTTACCAGGAAGAAATTAGATTGGGGGGGGGGTTGCTAAATAGTTGAGGACACTCAAAACCGGGGCAGTACAGAGGTATAAAGAGACTGTGAAAAGAAGGGACCAAGGATGACACTCAGAATTTTAGGCTGAATGACTGGGTGGTACTCCAAACCAAAAATGAGGCTATGATCACAGGAAGAATAGTTCCAGGGGGAAAGACAAGTTCAGCCAAGGACATACTGAATTTGAGGTACCTGGGGTGTGTCTGAGCAGAAGCCTGACACTCAAAGAAGAGAGTTTTTTGCCGGATGCAGAGATCTAGGTGTCATCAACCTACATGGTGAGAAAGGCTATGGGCCTTAATAAGAAGCAGGTAGAAGGAAGACAGGAGCAGGAAGCTAATACTAAGACTCACAGTCAGCAGAGCTGACATGCATTCCACCTTTGCCACTTACTAGTTTGACAGCCTTGGGCAGGGTCCTCCAACTCTCCCTGCCGACATTTCAGTTTCCTCACTTGTAAAATCACAGACAAGAGTTAAGATGGTTTTTCCTGATCCTGATAAGAATTAAGTAAGTTTATTCCCTTCGATCTCCCTCACACTTTCCCCATTGTAAATGGAACAGAGGAAAAAAGAAGTCTTAAATGTGGGCCTTATAAAGGCTGCCTACCCCACACCCCTCTATCACATTACGTAGGCTAAGCCCCCCCTCCCACCCTTCACCCATTATAAATGGAACAAAAGTGGGACTTACTCAGAACTGCCTATCATTTACACTAAAGGCCGGCCCACCAAAGCTTGGAATCCAGATAACTGCACCCTCCCGCTGCCATGATTAAGCAGAGTTCAGTATGCATTGATTCCTTCCCTCAGCGAACACTGATTTAAGAACTCACCTTGATCCACAACACAATTCTCAAGAACTGGGAATGTAAAACATAGAATCTACCCTGAAGGAGTCCAGAATAAGAGAGAGACCAGAGTCAAGCCAAGCAGTCAAGAAGTTGTGTAAGGAGGCCTGGATTGTTGGGGGACAGAGAAGATGGGAGTAAACATCCTTATATATTAATTACAATACAACATATTAATTGGCTGACTTCTGAGGACAAACAGAATCTCAACTCCCAGCTAATGCTGAAGCTCGATTCTGCATATATTGCTTTCTTTCAAAGATAGGCAAATTTCCTTCAGGTCTAAATTTTTTTTGCTTAAAAGTTCAATGGGGGAATCTCACTTCTCAGTCAGATATTCCTCTTACAGCAACCATTGGGTTTTCTCTTCACAGCTCACAGTCAAGATACTGTTAGATGTAATTATTGCACACTGTAATTTTTCACACTCAAAACTTCCAGTGCCTTTGGTATCAAGGCTAAATAAACAAGCGTGGCATATAGACTCCAGCCGCCACCTGACTTTCTACTCACCTGTCCAGCCTCAGTGTCCCTGCTCTGCTTCTCACTCTGAATTTCAGCCTCCAAGAATCAGAGCAGGTCCTCAAAGCCCGCAGGGGCTGCTTTCCTTTTTCTAGCCTTGTAGCTACTATTCCTCTACCTAAACCATTCTCCCCCTCTAGCCTGTCTATTCCTACTCATCCTCTGGAACTCAGCCTAGAAATTTTAGATGTTCGTTTTCTGGAAAGCCTCTCCTTGCCCCTTCAAATCTGGGTTGCCACCTGTCCCACAAGCTCATTACTGGAGGATTCAGTTTGGTTTCCTTATTAGATACAAGCTCTACCAGGATACCGGCTGTATCTCACTCATCGTTTTACCTTATCCCATCTGGGCACTCAGCACAAGGTCGACTTAAGAGAAGAGCTGGCAGAACAAATAAACGAAGCTCTCTCCAGATCCTTCGAGCCAGGCTCAAGGTTTCAATGTATATGTCACCTCTTGTATATGCCACCTCTTGAGAGAAAGGCCACCTTGGACCACGCTACCGAAAGTAAGTTGCCCAGTTATTGGTAGTACTTCCCAATTTGTTTTCTGCAGCCCTCAAGGGAGCAGGGTGTGCCTTTCCATGTCCCCAGCCCGTCCCCAGCACCTAGCCCTGTGCCTGGTGCACAGGTAGCATTCCGGCGGTGCGGTGTATGAATGAATGAAATGAGATGCTGCACACCACCGGCTGCACGGTGTAAGATTTTCACATACGAGGGTGGCGACTCCGCTCCCCAGCCACAGTCGGCGGGTCCTGGGCCGCGCGGGGGAGATAACCGGCCCCCCCACCCAGGTGCGAGCAGAGCGGACAAGTCTGCTCGCCAAGCCCCCCCGACCGGTAGCTCCAAGCAGGGATTTGGAGGTGGCGCCAAAAGCGTCGGCCTTCCCAGCTCTCCAGGAGAAGCTGGTGGGACCCTGCGCCAGACATCACGCCCCTTCCCCATCCCTGCCCCAGGCAGCCCGGGTGAGCCCAGACAAGGCGTCTCCATCAGACCCGGCCAGACCTGCACGCCCGGCCACCTCGGAGCCCCGCCTGCCACGCCGCCCGCGCTCTCCTCACCTGCGGGCCCAGCTCGGCTGGAAGCTTCTGAAGCCGCCACAAGGGCGTCCCCTCTTCCGGCTCCATCCCAGTACCAAGTAGGAACCTAGGTCACATGACAAGGCCCAGTCGCGCCTCTGGAGCGACGGCTCAGCCACGTGACTCTCTCGGGTGGGGCGGGGGCCGAGCGTGGAGACGCAGGAGCTGTCTTGCGCATGCGCAGAGACGCAGCCAACGCTTTCCCTGTAACTAAGGAAAATCCTTCTTCCGCCCGGCGTGAGTTTGCTGAGCACACCTATTACCTTGAAAGCAAATTTGCAAACCTCTCAGGCAGTTTCCAATTTTGTTCAGACTTCTGTCGAACTTTCTCTGCACTCTAGAAAGCCATCTAATAAGAATAACCCTGTTTTGAGCTCTGGGCCACTGTCCTGGAGGCTTGGCAGGTGTCTGTTTTTACTAAAGTATTCTAATTTGGAAGGTTAAGTGAGGGTTTACCTGTGTGCAAGATGCTTTATATAGATTATCCTAAAAAGAAGGTACTACTTCCATCCTTATGTACAAATAACAAATAAGATCAGAGAAGTCACTAGGATTGTCAGATGTAGCAAATAAAGAGTGCTGGGTTAAATCTGAAATTTCAGATAAGCAACGAACATGTTCTTATAAGTGTCCCCTAAATATTGCATGGGGCATACTTAAACTAAAAAATTATTCCCGGGGCATCTGGGTGGCTCAGACAGTTAAGCGTCCAACTTCGGCTCAGGTCATGATCTCAAGGTTCGTGGGTTCGAGCCCCACGTCGGGCTCTGTGCTGACAGCTAACTCAGCCTAGAGCCTGTTTCAGATTCTGTATCTTTCTCTCTCTGACCCTCCCCTGCTCACGCCCGCTCTCTCTCCCTCCCTCCCTCTCTCTCTCTCTCTCTCTCATAAATAAAAATATTTAAAAAAATTGTTCCCTGTTTATCTGTAAGTCAAACTCAACTCTGCATTCTGTGTTTTATGGCAACCCTAAAAGTCCCAAGAGCTAGGAGACACAGCCTAAAGTCAAGCAAAGTCAGACGCTACAGCCGCACTGTCAACGTTGAACTAACCAAAAAACGTTTTCCAACGTTGAACTAACCAAAAAACGTTTTCTGTGATTTCTCTCATTATAGCTGTTACCTTAATCAGGTGCTGGAGAATTTTGAGAGATAAGACAGTTCCTTGTATCTAGAAATGCACAGTAAGTGGGAGACCGAAACAGAAATGACAGTCTGATATAAATTTAATAATAAAAGTAGTGAAAGTGATGAAACATACCATAGAGGAGGAAGTCATTATTTTAGTCTGTGGGCTATGCAAAGAAAAACTACATATTAGTGACACCCTTTGATGTTTAGCTGGAATGCCCTTTCTCTACTTGGTGCCCCGTGTCTTGGAGGTGAAAGGAATTTCTTCCTTCTCTGAATTTTCATGACTGTCCCTCACTTAAAGTATTTATCGCTTTCTAGTTCTTGACAGTTATGTACAAGAATCATTGCCCCAACTGAAATATAATTATCTTAAGACTCTTCAACGTTGTGCATAGGAGCTCCTCAACTAATAGTTAATAAACAAGGAGTCTGGAAATCTACCTAATCTATCTGTGTTAGTAAGTCTCCTGAGGGTAGAGTCTTGTTTTCTAAGAAAAGGCTAGATTTTATATACTGTAAAAGTTGGGGTAAAAATATTTGTTAAGCATCTACTATATGCCAAACAGTTTATATATTTTATCTTATTAATCTTCCCTATAACATTGTGTTGTGGGAGTTACCCCAACTTTTAAAGATGAGGAAACATATCTGGTGAAGTAGTATCAACCTTGTCCAAGGTCATGTAAGTGTTAGTTGCAAAGTCACTGGGCCAAGTCTGTGTGTTTTACTGGCTCTGAAGATTAAAGAAAGACATTCTGGAGTGATATGACTTCCTAGGGCCATATAACAGATTACTAAATAACGGAAGGAGGCACAAAGAACAGTGCCCAAGATTTTGTCAGAGGACACAGAATTAGGTCCTGATTTTTCTTTTCTAGCAACGCTAGACACTAGGAGGAATTTGGTCCTTCCTTTGGAATTTGGTTATAAGAAAACTTAACTCTTAATTGTTGAATCACTACATTATACACCTGAAACTCATATAACACTGTATATCAACTAACTGGGATTAAAATAAAAACATACATAGACAGGGAAGCCTGGGTAGTTCAGTCAGTTAAGCATCTGACTTTGGATCAGGTCATGATCTCAGGGCGAGTATAAAGCTCACATCAGGCTTTCTGCTGTTGGGACAGTAGTCAGATTTCTCTCTGCTCCTCCCCTGCTCACGCTCTCACTCTCCCTCTCTCAAAAATAAACAGACATTAAAAATAAAATAAATTTAAAACATACATAAACAATAGGAGTACAAACACAAAAACTTGACCTTTAACAAACACAGCTTCTAATATTGTTCACAAGTTGAGAGTGCTTAATATTTGCATTTTGATAAGAAGATGTCCTTACGTGTATAATCCAAAAGGTTTTTAAAACATTTCTGTTTCTTACAGTCCCATTTTTACTAAGTGGGTTCTAGGCCCAATTTTCCAAATCTTCCTTGAAGTGATAGTTAGAAACGTGAACGCTAGAGTCAAACTTCTTAAATTTAACCCCCAATTCGGCAAATTGCTATCTGTGTAATATTAGGCAAGTAGTGTTCACTTACCTGTGTTTATGGTTCCGAATCTATAATTAGTTATAAAGTTAGCACCAAACTTATAGAGTATTAAGTCCATATGTGCAAAGTTCTTGAAATGAGGTCTAGCCTGGCACATAAAAAACATTATTAGATTCCCTTGTAAGTGGCATTCTTTTCTCTCTTGTTATCTAGCCTAAGTTTAGTGGGTTCCAGAAAACAAGGTGTCTCTTCCTCTTCTTTACCCTCCTATATATAGTGTTGGAGAGTCTCTGCCTTGGGAATGTGATCTGTTTCTAGAACCTGCCTAGGCTGTTATATAGTGCAGTGTAGGCAATGTAGGTCAGTGATCACAGCTCACACCTCTAAAAAATATCTAAAGATCTCAGATAAACCTCACTGGGTGTGCTTGCTGAAGTGAAATTGGAATTTAAGCTGTTTATCGAAGAGTTCATTTGTTGCTTCTTCTTGAGGTTATTTGATTGGATCTTTTCATTTTAAAGAGGAAGGAACGAGAAAGGATTTTGTGCACCATGCCCTGGGAGATTTATTCATTCACTCATTCTTCAACAATTAGTGGTTAAACATCTACCATGCATTAGATACTTTAATGGCTCTGGTATTGCAGGCAGTGTGAACAATAACTTACCTTCTAGTTGTGTATGGTGGGACCTCAGATATTGAATAAGTAAGCAAGTAAGATCATGTGAGCTATGGAGAAGCATCTTTTTAAAAATTTTTATTTATTTATTTCAAGAGAGAGAGAGAATCCCAAGCCGGCTCTGTGCTCTCAGTGTAGAGTCCCATGTGGGGTTCCATCCCACTACCCTGACATCATGAGCCAAAACCAAAAGTCAGACAGTTAACCAACTGAGCCACCCAGGTGCCCTGGAGAAGTATCTTAAAGAAAATGAAACAGAGTGATGTAATAGAGAGGGATGGTGGAAATACACTTTAGAATGGCCAAGGAGTACATTGTCAAGAAGTGGCATGTATATACAGGCATAAAGGAGGAGGAGACACGAAGGCAAACATCTGGGGAATGAGAGTTGTTATTACAATGTAGAGGCCCTGAAGTGGGAGAAAACCTGCCTTCCTTAAGATAGTAACCAGGGGCCTCAGTAACTCAGCAACCTGAGTGCTTCAGTTGGTTAAGTGTCTGATTTCAGCTCAGGTCATGATCTCATGGTCCATGAGTTCAAGCCCCGCATCAGGCCCTCTGCTGACAGTGAGGAGCCTGCTTGGGATTCTCTCTCTGCCCCTCCCTTGCTCACCCTCTCTCTCTCCCAAATTAAATAAATAAATAATTTTTATATTTATATTTATAAATAAATAAATAAATTTTTAAAAAATATAATAACCAATGCCTATGTGGCCAGACCATACTCAGTGAGCAAGGGAAGCGTGATGGAGATGATGTCAGAAATCTAGGCTAGGATTTTAATCAGCAAATTGACATGAACTAGTCTGCATTTTTAAATGGATATGCTCTGGAAAGCAGATAATCTTTGGAAAACCAGCTTTTAGGTACAAGAGTGGAAGCAGGAGAATCAGTTTCGAGGATATGCCAGACGAATCCTCTTTTTTTTTTTTTAATGTTTATTTATTTATTTACTTTGAGACAGAGAAAGCACAAGATGGGTAGGGGCAGAGAGAGAGAGAGAGAGAATGAAAATCCCAAGTAGGCTCCACACTGTCAGCGCAGAGCCCCACATGGGGCTTGTCCCACGAACAGTGAGAACATGAATGACCTGGGCCAAAATCAAGAGTCAGACACTCAACCAACTGAGTCATCCAGGTACCTCCAGACTAATCCTAACTAATGTAGGCATTTAAGTTAATATGACCGAATTTGCATGTGCAGACTATAGAAATCTAGAGGCTTCGATGATGAGTGGTGGGAACCACATATACTTGGAAAGACTCAAAAGCTATTTTGGGTAAGGCATGGAATTGTTGAATCGTCGTATTGTATGCCTGAAACTAAATATAACACTGAATGTTAATTATACTCCACTAAAAAGAAACGTACCATGTTTAAAATCTCAAAAAAATAAAGATATTTTGGAACTAAGAACTATGGAATTTATAGTGAGTTGGATGCTTTGGAAAGAGAAAGAGGGTATAGAAGTAAAATGCAGACTATACAATGGGGTAAACCATCTGTCCTCTCGGCCCAGCTGGAGGCTTGGGGCTCTGACCAAGAGTTAGAGTCATAAACTATAGCTACTGTGTTAGTGAAAACTTTTTGAGGAACAGTGTCATGCAGCAAATCTAGAGTCAGAGTCCGTTTATATCCCTGTCACTTAACACCTGCATGACTTTGGGTAAAGTGCTTCAATTCTCTGTATCTCAGTTTCCTTGACTGAAGATAGGGATAAAACTACTACCCACATAATAAAGTGTCTGTGAAGTTAAAATGAAATAATGCA